GCAGGTGAGCCTCTGCAGGTATCCCTGGCCCCTGAGGCAGGCGCAGGTGGGCGTGGCACAGCTCCCTCCCAGGTCTGCCCCACTGTGCTGGTGGCTCCCAGTGGCCCTTGGGGGAGGCAGAGCTGTGTGTGTCCCTGCCATCTGGCCTGCCCCAGCCACGCGCACTCGCACTCGTGTGCAGTTTAACCCTAGTGGCCAAGTCCCCGCCAAGCCTCCTGGCCAGAGCCGACAAGGTCACTGCTGCCGGCCAGCCTCCGTCCGCATCAGGTGCAGCCCTACCTCCAGCGCCAGCAGCAGCAGTGTCCACTGCCCTGTGCGGCAGCATGATCTGGGAAGCTCGGTGTGGTGCTGCCCGGAGAAGTTCGTGCCCAGGCAACTCCTGCCCAAGTGTGAGAGGTCCCTGTCTCAGAGCGACTTCCATCAGAGAAAGGAGATCCAGCGGCCTTCTTAAAAGTCCTCAGCTGATCTCTTGGACCAAAGGGGGAGGAGCACTGTGAGCCAAGGTCACCAAGTGAGGGTGGAGGGAGGAGTGGCTTCTAGGCCCTGTGGCCAGGGCGGGAGGCTTCTCTGTCCAGCTTCCAGTTGGCCCCAGCCTCTTCTGTCTGGCGCTGTCTTTTCCAGTAACCAGAGAGCAGGGTCTCTGACTGCGGGACGCACGCGTGTTTGCACTGAGGAGCCAAAGGCCACCTTTCTCCTTCCTGGACCTCCCCAGGGCAGTCCTCTTAATGACCTTTCCTGGTTTCAGATCTTCTGGGGTCTTCATTAATGTGTTGAAGTCACAGACTGCCTCCCCGCTTCCTCCTGTGAGGGGCGGGGGACACGCACGTCTTCTGGCTTCCATTTTTGATGGTTTGTCTAGACTCTGGTTCCTCTGTCACCTTTCAAACTCCCCTAAATGAACGCCCAGCCCCAGCCTGGATCTGCTGTAAGAGGGCAGCCTCCGCCCTCCCCTCCCCTGCCCTGCCCTCCCTCCCTCCCTCCCTCCCTCCTCCCCCCTCTCCTCCCCCTTCCAGGTTCCCACCCGTCCTTCACGGGGTGGTGTCCACACGGGGTGCGTGTCTGGGGCAGTGCCCTGCTGCCCTCCATCTCCTCTGGGCTTCTGTTCCCCTCTTCCCAAGCCCTCCCTGTCTTCTTGGGAGGAGACCATGGGGCCTGCTCCCCTCCGCTGCGCTGCGCGGTGGGCTGCTCGAGGAGGCCTCAGCGTCCCTGAGTCAGCCCGGTCCCTGTCCCTGTCCCTCGTCCCCCCAGAGTCACCTCCTGGGAAAGGGTGCAGGAGAGGCTCAGGTGGTTTCCACGGGAACCCAAAGGCCCCTCCCTGTCCTCCTGCCCGTCAGCCTCTGTGGGTGGCCACTTTCTCCTCCAGCTTCAAGCCTCTGGCCGCTGGCCCTCTTCACTCCTTGAACTGCTGGTTTGTCATGAGCGTTTGTGTCTCTGTGGCAGCTGACATTTTTTACTTGCGGATGAGTAGATTTGTTTCTTGTATTTTTCAGTTCTCTTCTTTTTGCTCTTTGTTCTACAAGAACATCTCAACTTCACCTTTCACTCCTTAATTGACTGTTGATTTGGGGGTAACCTGAGGGCGAGGGTGTGTTGGTTAGAGTGTGTTTCCCACAGTGTTCTTCTGAAGGTCCTGTTGCTCCCAGCCGTCCCCTTGCAGCTGGGTGGGTGTCTGTTCCCAACCTGCTCCTCGCCTGCGCCCTAGGCGGCCCCTGGGACGCGCAGTCTGGGGTGGGCAGGAGCCCCCATACCAGGGCCAGAGTCCGAGGGCTGTGGGGTACAGCTCCTGCTGGGGGCTTGCTCTGCAGGGCCGTGCGGTTCTGCTTCGGGATAAAGGGTGCTCCAGTCCTTGGGTGTGGCAGGCCATGGCCTGCAGGGTGCCTGCGCCCATGCGTCCTGCGCCCTGGAGGAAGGCATGGGCACCCTTCCTTTGCTCTCTGGGCTCTGGAAATGTGTCGGCCTCCCTTCTGCTGCCGGCCTTCTCCGCTGGGACAGTGGTCATTGGCAGAGTCCTCTTTTTGTTCCCTTACTGTTTCGAAGCAGATCATGGGCAGGTAGGGGACAGGAAGCTCAGTCTGACGTGTCATGCAGGTGCTGACTGTGGCTTTCTAGAAAGCTCTGTGTGGCGTGCTCACCCAGAGTGCCTGGAGTCTGAGGAGAAGGCCGCCAGAGGGGCCAGTCCAGGGCCAGCAGCTGCCTCTAAGGTGCACAGTTGGACCTCAGTAGGAATTTTCGTTTTGCGTGCTGTTTCCACCTGCCTTGTTAGGAAGACCTTGCCTCTGCTCGAATGAAGACTCACGATGATCTGATTAAGCCAGTGCTGTGGCTTCAAAATCAAGTCTCAGTTTTCAGTACCCCTGGAATCGCTGTTTAGAAAAGTGAGCTGTTGCTTCAAGAGCTCAACAAACAGACCATGTTAGAACAAGCGTTTATCTTCTAGAACATCGGGAAACCTGTTTCTCTAAGGACCTTCTAGTCCTTGTGGACGGGAGAGCTTTCCCGGAGCCCAGCTCACAGTGTGAGCCAAAGGCGGCAGCGGAGCTGCTCCCCCAAGGCTGGCCTCCACTGCGGGCAGCCCCCCCTGGCCAGCCTTCTGTGCGGCAGCCGTGGGGCAGCCCTCTTCTGGAGGCAGCCTGGGTTGGGGTTGGGAGCTGGAGGCCTCACGGAGCCCCACCCAGCCTCTGGAGTGGGACGCGTGCAAACCACAAGATGGGCACAGCGCCTGCTTCATGCCCCCCACCCCCGACGGTGAGAACAAGGTTGGTTGCTGCACCTCACAATGCAGAAGGAGTACAGTGCTCAGCAAGGCGGGGCCAAGTGTGCGCGGGCGGCTCAGGCCAGGCCCCGTGGGCTATGGGGTATGTCAGGGCCACCTGTTCTGTTTCACTTTGTCCCCAAACAGCCCTGTCCACTTTGTCTTGACCAAGTGTGGGCCACAGTGACCTGATGTGGCCTGTGGTGGTGGGAGTGGTTTTTGTACCCACCTGCCTAGTTCAGGTGCTTGGCCTCCCCACAGAGCCTGGCTCCCACGGCACACCGAAGGGTCGCCTGGAGGTCGTCTGTCCAACTCTTTGCACAGAGGAGGAGATTTGATCCTCGGTGGCTGGCAGGGTGTTCCTGGTGAGAACTATGATCTGGAATTGAGAGACCTTGCTCTGAGGCCGGGGCGCATGTGGACATTCAAGCCACCCTGGAGGGCACGGAGCAGACGAGATGGCCACCCCTCGGTCCTGGAGCAGAGCTCTGCCCAGTGTGGGGTCTCTCTCTCTGCAGTCATGGTCTCCTCACCCCCCCCCCCCCGCCAGCATGAAGCCTCCACATGGCTTCTCAGCTTGCCTCTGCTCCCCACCCAGGGCCCACGCCACCTCTCTGCCACAGCTATCTCTACCAGGTGGTGCAGTGCCAGCCCTGGGCACAAGGGACTGAGGAATGGGGTGGCCTGCAGCCTCTGGTTGTAGGGGTGGCCAGGCAGCCAGCCTGATGCCACCCTCAGCTCCTCCCTCCGGCCCCTGCCAGCTGTCTTCTCCCAGCTCTCCTGGGTGACTGCGGCCGCCCTTTGTTGGCACACCTGCCGAGAGCTGGAGCCCCAGTGGCTTCGTGCAGTCAGTTGTTTCTGAAAATGGCCTCTGGTCTTTCTTTTGCTCTGTTGCAGGGTCCTTCTGTGTTTCTGGGGAGGTGGAAACTTGCTCAGTAACATTTCCCTCCTCTTTGCAGTTCCCAGCGACCTGACCGCAGAGGAGCGTCAAGAACTGGAGAACATCCGGCGGAGGAAGCAGGAGCTGTTGGCCGACATTCAGGTAGGAGGGCTGCCAGGAGGCTGACTGTGGGCAAACGGAGACACGCTCCATTTGTGCACAAGTGTGTCCTTCGCAGAGTGTCACCTGGAGCTCTGGACAGAGCGGAGGACTGGTGACCCCTCTGCAGGCTCTCAGCAAGCTTAGGTGTGCAAAGGTCTGCTCACTGCTGACCCTCGGAGCGGGAGTGGCCCCGGGCGGTTCCTCTGTGCTGTCACCTCGTGGCTGCCTGGAGTGGCCTCGGGCTTGCTGGCTCTGGGTGCAGGGCCCAGCCTGGCCACACGCCAGATCACTTTTGGTTCCTTGAACTTGAGCTTCTTGTCGTGGACTCCCAGGCCTCAGAAGGGCTGAGGGAGCTGGTGTTTATGGAGCATTTAGTGTGATCAGGTCCCTAGAGACTCTTACTCGGGGACAGTAGTCTTAGTGTGTTTCCTGGCTCCTTTTCAAAACTGTCCCAGTTTTGTAGGAAGGAAGGCCTTAGAACCTGAGAGCTAGATGACCTCGCCCGGGGGCAGCAAGTGTTCCCTTCTGAATTTCCTGGACATCGTGAGGGGTGGGAAGAGGACAGGCCTGAAGCCCGGCCACAGTGTGAGAGCAGTCGCCGTCCTGCTCCGCTGGTTGGGGGCTTCCTCACTGGGCCTGATTCTGTAATTCCTGGTTCACTGGTGAAGGCGGGGAGGTGGAATGGCGCTCCCAGCCCTCCGTCCTGAGAGCCACTGAAGGGGACGGTGGTGGGAAGAGGGTGGATTTGGTCAAGGTAGAACTGGTTGAATGTCCCCTTTGCCAGCCATGGGGTGGGTCAGTGCCACCAGGCCTTGGGAATGAGAGTGCGCCCAGGACCTCTGTCACCCTGCTTGGTGAGCTGTAGATCTGTCCTAAGAATGTGCATCAGGTGGCCTCCTCCCGGTGGTGGGTGCTCCCCCGGGACACCTGAGCTCTGAGGCAGGAGCTGCATCTCCCTGCTGTACGTGCCTGGGGGGCGTGGCAGGCCTGGGGTAGCCGGCTTCCGGCCCTGCTCGTGGGGACTGCTGCAACCTGCTGTTCTGTGTTGTCTCGGGCCAAGGCAGCAGGTACGAGGCTTGGGAAGTATCCCTGGTCTGCCGCATCCCTCCTGGTAACTCTGGCCATCTCTTCACAGAGGCTGAAGGAGGAGATAGCAGAAGTTGCTAATGAGATTGAAAACCTGGGATCCACAGAGGAGAGGTGAGTCTGCCCTGCTCTGGGCGCCACGTTGCTCGGCTTCTCACGCACCCACCCGCCCTCTGGGAGGAGACAGTCCTTGCCCCGCACGGGCCCACGTAGGCCCGCACCTCTGCCGGCCAGTCTTCCCTGCGGGAGCTTTGCACAAGCTTGAGCCGTGCCGAGGCTTTCCCATTGTTGACGTGGCTTCCCCTCTTGTCCGCTACTTGTATTTGGAGTCTCGCTCTTTCTTTGTACAAAGGAAGCTTAACAAATGCCACCAAGAGTTTCGAGGGCCCTGAGCAAGGCTTTGAGCCTGTCTGCAGCTCCCTCCAGCCGAGGGGAGAGAGCACAGAAGTTGGTCAGGGTGTCTGACCAGGGCTGGCGCTCCGTCTTGCTCTGAGCGACATGATGCTGGTGGTGTGGTCCTGAGTGGGCTCCCGGCTGCCTTCTGATTCCTAATGTGGCCGTGGGCTGTCTCCAGGTCCCTGCACGTCTGTGCTGTTCGGAGCCCGAGTCTGCCTGTCGGGCTTCCTCCGCCCTTTGCTCCCTGTTTTAGCCTGGTGTGGGCGGGGCCCCGGGAAGGGCAGCCAGCTCGTCACTTCCAGGCTCTGGATCCTCATTTTGGTGTTTTGGATTACAGCTTTCTTACTTTCCATTTGAAAAATTATAGCTTAAAAGAAATGGATAGGGGCTGGGGCTGGGGCTGAGTGGTAGAGCTCTCACCTAGCATGTGTGAGGCCCTGGGTTCCATCTTCATCACCACGTAAAAATAAATAAATAAAGTAAAGGTATTGCGTCCAACTACAACTAAAAAATAATACAAAAAAAAAAAGAAATGGATAAATTAGAGTTTATCAAAGTTTGAAACTGCTGCTCTTACAAAAGATAACTACGAAAGTATGAATAGGAAAGTCACAGTGGACGGGTATTTGTAGCGTGCCCATCCAAGCAGACGGAAGAGAACACGCACACTTCAGTAGTGAAGATGCCCAAGGCACAGGTGAGCACAGGTGGGAATGCCCTACACGAGAAGCTGTGTGTGTAGCAGCCATGGAGCTCAGCCCTTGATAGGAGCCGTCAGGGGAGGCTGCCGTGGCAGCCCCTTCACCCCCTCCTGGACGGCTGGGACTGAGACTGCTGCACTTGGCCTGGCGAGCACCAGCCAGAGAAGAGGACGCCCTCCTAGGAAGTGGTGCACACCCTTGCTGAGGCCCAGCAGCTCAACTCCTGGACGGTTACTCAAAAGAAATGGAGACGTGTCCACTAAAAGAAGTGTCGGGGACGTTGATTCCAGTCTGCTCAGGAATGCGGAGGAGCCAGCTGCTGTGTGCCGCTGTGAGGTGGAGCCCGCGTGCAGACCACTGGCTCGCGAGGTTCCAGGACAGACCAGGCTCAGCTGCGATAGTAGAGAGCGCAGGGCACGTAGAGGGCCAGTGGAGCAGGCTCCGGCTGGAGTGGTGGCCTCCAGCTGCACACGCGTGTCCAGACGCCTGAGCCGGGCGCTCAGGCATGTGGAGTGTGCCTGAGTTTACAGAGGAAACCATGGCTTTTTCCCGATTCTAAAAGAGAGGAGTGTTTCTCGCAGGCATTGGTAAGCACAGAAGAGCGCGGAGGGAGCAAACTTCCCCTCGTGCTGGTCCAGGATCCCCTGACCTCAGTGTGTTTTGGCATCTGCACAGGCATATTCAGAACACGGGCACCATCTGCTTGGTGAGTGCCTGCAGGTGGTCATGGTGCACCCAGGAAATGACTCCAGGACCCGAGTGGCTGGGCGCCTGCGACAGTCAGCTTGCCAGGTCCTGGGGACTGCAGCTCTCCACAGCTGCACCGCAGTCGAGCCGGGAGCCACGATGGGGTGACACGTTTTTCACTCTGGAACTTGAAATGGTTTTCTGGTGTCGGAAGTCCTAGGGGGAGCTGTCCTGCAGGTCCTGCTCATCTGTACAAAGAGGGTCTGGTGCTCCTGTCGAGGTTCTAAGCAAAAGCCTGATGCCGGCACTGTGTAGAAATGATCTAAATGTTCTTCATCAGAGAGAAACGACCTGCCCGTGTGCTGTAGGGTCCTAACATTCTGAAGTGCAGGGGTCGACCCATGTCTCAGGTGATGCAGAAGCAGCAGGAGCTGTTTTGTTTGGGATCCCACTGTGGGGGGACACTGGTATGGAGATTGGGGAGGGCCTCTTAGACACGGGGCGGCAGAGGACCTGTGCGGGAGCTGCGGTCTCGGTGCTGGGCGGGGGGCATGAGCTGACGTCATGGAGAGCTGCTGAGCCTCGAGTCTCTGTGAGTGTCCAGATAGCCATGGGCAGCGGCCAGTACCGCACAGGCCTGGGGGGGCGTGGTCTCTTCAACTAGGGACCAAACAGGCGCAGGACCCTGAGGGTCACCATGGTTGCGTGTTTGGCTCAGTGGGGCCTCTGTTACAGGAAATCACAAAACAGGGTTTTTCTTGTGTGGAAATACAGGGCCAAGTGACCTTCCTGGATTTAGGAGAATGACGAGAGGACCATTGAGATGCAGTAGGCATTTCTAGACACTGGGACTCAGCAGTCAGTTCCAGCTGGAGTGAAGCTGCACATGCCCTCTGCAGCTGTTCCTCTGGGGACCCTGTCACCTCAGGTCCTGGCCTCCTAGCATCTTGAGAGTTTTCTGTTTCCCTTTTAAAACCACGCCAGACAGGAGCCTCTGTTCCCTCCTTGGATTTAGCCAGGGAAAACGTGCTCCTGAAGGCAGAAGCTTTTATAAGTGTGTCTCTGAGCAGCGAGTTTGCTCTCTGAGACTGTAAAGGGCCATCTCATTGACTGCAGAGCTTCCCAAATTTGCATGCACACCAAAGTTTCTGTTAGAAGTCTTCAAAGTTGAGATTCCTTGGCTCCACCCTGGAACTTCTGAGTGACTCAGTGGCCCAGAGGCTGCCGCAAGGGGTCCCAGGAGGCTGGTGTGTGAGAGCAGCCTCCTCACACCTGTGTGCTCAGGTGCTCACCTGGCTCACTGGCTCAGGCTGCAGGTGTGTGCAGTGGGCTGTCTGAGGAGTGTCTGCAGGTCTGCACTTTTTGTTCTAATACAGTCAAAGAAAACTGCTGCTCATCTGAGCAGTTCCTGAGAAATTAAATGCAAATGCGCCCTATGACCCACTGGTGTCCACTGTGACCAAGAGAAACAGGAAGGTCCATGCACACAGAGAGGTGCACATGGTGCTCACAGCATTTCAGATGCAATGGCCCCTGCGGCTGATGCCCAGTGCCCACCGTCTGGAGGAGAAACACTGTGTCTGTGCGTGGGGTGGAAGGGACAGAGCACTGGTGCACACCAGGCGTGGGTGAGCCTGGACACGCCAAGCAGGACCGTGCCGAGTCAGATAGTGCCAGGTGCTGTTCGCAAGAGTCGAGAGTGGGCACACTGGAGACAGCAGGTGGACCCACGGTTACTCGGGGTGGAGGTGGGAGGGAGGGTGTCTGGAGTGGGCCTGGGGACATCCTGGGGCTGGTGACACAGTCTAGCACTGGCTATGGTGATGGGCACACCACTGAGTAAGCCGACAGTACCTCAAGCAGACTTCTAAAGTGCGTGTGTCACATGACATATGAGTTGTGTCTCGATGAAGTTTCTTTTTTTTAAATGTCATCAAAAAAGAGAACGGCAGGTCTGGGGTAGAAACAGCACAGAGCTGTGTCAGGGAGTCCCCTGCCCTCGCTCAGCAGGCCTGCTGCCCTCCCAGGGCCACCCAGCAGCACTGCATGAGGGGGCCGCATATGGGGACTGTCGTGCCTCTCAGACCTCCTCTGCCAGAGCGCTGAGGGCCATGTGGTTGTCTTTCAGGAAAAACATGCAGAGGAACAAACAGGTAGCCATGGGCAGGAAGAAATTCAACATGGACCCCAAGAAGGTAGGTGAAGGAAGCAGCAGAGCCTCGGCCTCCAGGCGGGTCTGGCTCAGGTGGACCACAGGCGTCCTTCCAAGCCGCCTCTCCTGACGAGTGTCCTGAGCCTGACCTTGACCCTCCGCACGACCCTCCTCCGAGGCCTCACACTCCCACGCCTCTCCCCAGGGGATCCAGTTCTTGATAGAGAATGACCTGCTGAAGGACACCTGTGAGGACATCGCCCAGTTCCTGTACAAGGGGGAGGGGCTCAACAAAACGGCCATCGGCGACTACCTGGGGGAGAGGTGATGCTGGGCATCGCGGGAGCCCTGGGTGGGAGGCAGCAGCGGCCATGTGGGCGAAGAAGGGAGCGAGTCAGATAGTGCCAGGTGCTGGGGAGTGGCAGCTGGTCTGTCGAGGAGGCATGGGGACACTTGTTTAGCCAGTAAGCAGAGTGACCCAGGCATCGCCCTGACTGTGTGGATGGCCTTCCTGGAAAGCCGGTGGCCCTAGGACTTGGTGCGGGAACGCTGCCTGGGGGGTCGGGGTCGGTACTGACCTCTGCTCCTGCCCATCTCTCACCTGCTCCCAACAGGGACGAGTTCAACCTCCAGGTCCTGCACGCCTTCGTGGAGCTGCACGAGTTCACCGACCTGAACCTCGTCCAGGCCTTGCGGTGCGTGTGCTCGCGGCAGGCGGCTCCGCACCCATCCTGGGCCCTGGGGGATGTGCTCAAGGGGCAGGGGATGTGGGACCCCCTGCATCTCCAACTTGAGGTCTGGGAAGTCGAGGAAGCCTCCCGTCGATTTTGAGATCTTTTCTGTTCTTTGGTTTAGAAACCCTTCGATATCTTGCCCAGATAGATAGCGTGCTCCATTCCATTTTAGAAAGGAAAAAGTCAACCTCACTTTTTCACTAATTTTTTTATTCTGGGACATCAGAAATTGTCCTTTGATATTTTCATTGCCATAGGCAGAACTAATCACATCATCGTTTGTCCTGTTACTTTAATAGATGAAAAGAGCACAGAGTCAGACCTGCCCTGGGTGGGGTGCCTCCAGCGGGTCAGTGGTGGGGCCCTTGCCCAGCACGCAAGAGGTCCCAGGTTCCGAAAAGAAAAACCTAGGGTCGCAGCTTCTCTCCGACTTTCAGGGGTCAGTTGTGGGTGTGCTGGCCTGTTCTGGAGTCGTTAGGAGGAGCTCATCTGTGTTTCAGTCTGGGGTCTTCTGAGGAGGAGAGTGGTTCTTTGGAACAGGAAGGCCAGGGTCTCCTTTTCTCCCGGGCACTGGGCCTCGGGTGGAAGTGGTGGTGGTGTGGGCGGGAGGTCCGTGGCTGCACAGGACTAGCACCTCGCCCAGCCTCCTTTTCCTGGGGTGTCGGAAGTCTTGGGCAGTGGAGCTGTTCCCGGGGCCCGGCCCTGTCCTGGACGCCTTCTCTCTGCCATGCAGGCAGTTCCTATGGAGCTTCCGGCTCCCCGGAGAGGCCCAGAAAATCGACCGCATGATGGAGGCCTTTGCCCAGCGGTACTGCCAGTGCAACTCGGGCGTGTTCCAGTCCACGGGTGAGCGGCCTCCTCCTGGTGTCAGGCTCTGCTCTGGAACAGAGGGCTCAGGTTCATGCAGACAGACACTTTTTTAGTGGTATTTATAATAGAAAATACTTGGAAGTGATCCCAAAGTCCAGCGTTACGGCCCTGGGAATATAAATTGTGGTGCCTCTCAACTATGACATATAGCTCTTAAAAATCAAGTGTGAGCCAGGCATGGTTGGCCACTCCTGTGATTCCAATGCCTGGGAGGCTGGTGCAGGAGGGTCACAAGTTCAAGGCCAGCCTCAGCAACTTAGCAAGACCCTGTCTCAAAGTAGAAATAGAAAGGGGTGAGGTTGTGGCTCAGTGGTGAAGAACCCTCGGTGAAGAACCCCCCTTCAAGGGGGAAAAATCAGATTTTTAAAAACTGGGCATGGGAACATGTGCCTGTAGTGCCAGCCTCTGAGGAGGCTGAGGCCGAGGCAGGAGCAGCGCTGGAGCCCAGGAGTCTGAGGGCAGCCTAGGCAATACATTGGAACCTCCCATTAAAAAAAAAAAAAAATCACATTTTTATGAAGAATTCTATTGATAATGGCAAATGACCAGATTAGCAGAAAAGCACTATGTAAACGCGTGTGTTTGTGTGGGGGTGGGTGCACACAGGTCAGTTTGAGTCAGACTTTGTTGCAGTTTGGGTCCCTGAGATGCACTTGCAGTATCACGCACAGGCACATTTAGTAGAGGAGGTAAAGCAACAGGTTTTTGCTAACCAGTGGGACTGCAGGTGTTTGTGTTCTCTGTTTTATACCTGGCTGGGTTTTCTTGCCATGTACGTGTTCTCCTTTCAGTCTGAAAACACAGCATCTTTTAGTCTCAAGGACGGCATGGACCTGTGTCCTCGTCTTGCAGGTGGCTGTGCCCAGAGGTCACTTCATGGCTCCCTGGGCCCTGGGAGCTGGGCTTCCCCGGGTGGCGCTGGCTCCCCTCCTGGGGGGTGTTTCTGATCGGGCTGTGCTTTCCCGCCAGACACCTGCTACGTCCTGTCCTTCGCCATCATCATGCTGAACACCAGCCTGCACAACCCCAACGTCAAGGACAAGCCCACCGTGGAGCGCTTCATCGCCATGAATCGGGGCATCAATGACGGGGGGGACCTGCCCGAGGAGCTGCTCCGGGTGAGCCAGCGGGGTGGCTCCCGTGCCCTTGGGCGGGACAGGGAGAGAGGGCACAGAGTGGCGTGCCCACTCGGTTCATTCCCTTGCTCCTGTGAATCCCACTGACGTGTTGGTGGGGATGCCACTAGGAGTGAGGAGGGGTGGCTTGCAGCTGAAGCTGCGGGTTCCGGCAGAGGCAGGCAGCCTCCCTTTCTCCCCCAGCCTCCACGGAGGGCTGCTTGCCTGTCACCGTGGGTAGTAGCAGTGCCCGTCTTGCTCCCCTAGTCCCAGGGCCCTGGGGGGCACGTGCTCTCTGCAGGCGCACAGTGAGTGCCTGTGGAGTGAATGGGGGGAGAGATCCTTCTAGAATCAGAGACATACAGTGTCGTCTTTTATCCCAGAATCTGTACGAGAGCATAAAAAACGAGCCCTTTAAGATCCCAGAGGATGACGGGAACGACCTCACTCACACCTTCTTCAACCCAGACCGAGAAGGCTGGCTCCTGAAGCTTGGTGAGTCCAGCCCTGGCCACGGGTCCGGGCAGGAACTCTGAGGAC